TATTTTTTGAAAGTTAAAGCAATGTCATGTAAGTTGTTTCTCTGTTAAAAAAAAAGTTTTCCTACAACCAAATGAATTTGAATTGAGTGATATCAAGTACAGTTGCATATTCATAAAGTGTTAGTGTGATAGTTGTTTGAAGTTCAATATAACCACTGGGCTTCAGTTTCATGAAGACATATTAATGTTGAAAAGAGGGAAGGCTGTTATTCTTGCTGCATGATTTTATGTATTTTTGCCTTCAGACAAAATCTCTTTTGTCTTTTCTTGTTACCAATGTATTGCTGATTGAGATTGGTTTAGTCTCAATGCTATGTAACTGTAGAGCAAAAGATTTTCAGTAATCAGAATCATTTAAATCAATGTCACCATTGGTATTTTGCATAATTATGACTTCAAGCGATGCATTTTTAATGAATTAAATAGGTTAGCAAGTGTGACCTTATTTAATGAAAAATGTTTGCTTTTTTATTTCTGTGTATGTAAACCGATACTCCTTAAAGTAGCAAAAATCTTGTACAAAATATCAGCTCTTCGTAAAGATAGTTTTCTTTTACATATTTTATACTGTGCAATTAAATTTCAAATACTTCTAAATGTATTTGGAAATGCTTTTTGGATGTCTCCGAATATTCTAGCTTCTTATAAATGCAAATTGTATTGTTTAGATGGATCACATTTCTAAAAGGAAATACATGGACATAAATATTACAACCCCAGGCATCTAGGGGTAAAAGGGTGTAACATTTAGGATGGATTTGGATGCAGGTGGGTTTCTGGTGAGGGACTTAGGAAGTGTGACAAAAGCAAAAAGATGCAAAAGTGATTTATTTTAAAAGTGAATAAGTGACTGGTACGAATACAGGACAAAATAGCACACAGGGAAAAGGAACTTGAGCAGTGCCAAAGGAACGAAAATAACAAACAAAATGAAGCTAGCTAATAAAGTGAGGGGAAGCTGACCTAACTTCCACAACAAAACCCGAAACACTCGGTCTTCGGCGTCTTCTAACGCCCTAGCTAACCTCCACTGACTACCCAAAACCATACAAGACAAAAGCCTCTCACCCATCATAAACTTGTGTTTCTAATACAAAGACCAACTACATGTGCACCATGTACCCGACAACCTTAACTAAACCTTTACACAAAAGTTCACACAAATACACAAGTGAGCTACAGATACAAATAAGGGAGAGTAGACACAAGGAATAGGATACAAAAGAGGTTCATACAACACGTTAGGGCAAGGTAATGGCAAAATAAATAATAATAAAAATGAAAGTACAAGGAGGAGACGAACACAAACCAACAAAGCCAAAGCTATACAGAAACACACATGAAGTGAAACGAACAAAAACAAAGAGAGACGAAGCCGAAGCAAAACGAAAGTGAAGCGAAGCTGAAGCTGAGCTGAGCAGAAACAAAGTCGAGCATTGAGTTGAGTTTTGATTGGTCAAGAAGCTGATCGATGATGACGTAATATGGCAATAATGGTGTAGTGATGGACCAATGGGGGATGGGGTACCTAAATACAGGAAGTGAAAGAAACCAAAACAAAAACACAGACACGCATGGGGACATAACATAAGGTGTTTTTTAAATGGTCATTGACACAAATTGAGAAAAATAATTATACCAATAATAATCATAAAAATACCACCACTCCTTTACATGCTACCATGCTTTGCAAGGAATTTAAAAATAAAAAGAAGCAATACATTTTAGTGCAAAAGCACTTAAGTTAACATATGGTATAGAGCCATTACTTTGTAAAGGGAATATAAGGAGGAAATATATGTACTGTATACAGTATATTCACTAAATTAAGACTATACACCATAAAACGTTACACTTTACACACTATCTTGGTCCATATTTTGCCCATTCTTCTTGGCAGATTTGCTCAAGCTCTCCCAAGAAGCTTGAGGATAACTACTAGTCAGGACTTTTACTGTGCCACTTGAGAATAATATTCTTAAATCACTATTGTATGGTCTTTGGATCATTGTCCTGCTGAATGTCATTGACTATCCCCACTACTATGGGCAAAATGGGCCACTCCTATTGAGCATACCATTCTCTGTTATTTTGGTAGGAAAGAACATATAACATCTCATTTAATACACTAAGAGCTTTAAGACTTTTTGTGTATGTAAAGGCTTTAACTGTTAGATTTAACAGCACATTTAGAAAAAATATTTTCCTTTTTTTTCTTTAAGGTCTCCATAGTGCTATTATTTAAAGTTACAGTTAAATGTGCATGGTTGTGAGTTTGATTTTATTACCACAACAGTTTAAAATCTTGCAGTTTTCATATGAATCATTGGGGGGGGGGGGGGAATAATGTTTTTTCCCCATGTTTGTTTCTCAATGTTGAGAATATTGGAAAAGTAGCCAGCATCCAAGTCAGTTTTTAAGTACCCTACGTTTATATGGTACATCAAGCTGAGAGATGCTGGGGAGCACTAATTTGTGATAAACTAGCACTCCAGGGAAACACTGCTGTGGATTGGGAGGCAGTTGGCTGTTTTTCTGTGTAGTAGCTTGTTTTCAGGCTGTGCACAGATCTCTGTAGCCAAAATTAAAAAAAAAGAAACCTAAATCTCTGACTGGTGTGTTAAAGGATTATGTCGAGTCTTGGTAAGAAGATAACAGGCCTTTAGTACTGGACCACTCATACACATCAAAGACAGGAGAGACATTCTCTTACTTCAAAAACACATACTTAAAACTTAGACTCTTGTCAGGATTAAGTTTATAGAAAAACAAAACAATTGACAGGAGAACAATACCAGTTGCTGGCTTCTGAGATAATTCGTGAAAATAAAAAACAAGTATTTTCGAAAAAATCAGGTAACGCACATAAGACACACAATGGTACATGCAATGGGTGTATTAAAAATAACTGTCAAAAGACTTTGATTTACTTTTATAATTGCCCCTTGGTCTTACAGAAAACAAAATTAATTAATTTCCTAAAGTTTTTCTGCTTTTCATAAACTGATGAGTTAAGGAACTGCCTGACAACACTGTACTTTTAATAATCTTCAAAAGGAAAAAAAAAACATAAGGAAAAATAAGGAGAAAATTTTAAAAATAATAATATTGGTGATATTAATATTGGTAAAAGAAATTCTGATTATATTTACTTTATTTATATGGAATTTACATTTGGGTGGAATGGCAGCAGCCAGGTTCACTAATACCTCAGAAGCCCTTAATTGTAATAATTCCTGACACCACCATCTCCCCCCAAAAAGCTGTAAATAACTTAAGTAAGCCTTTTGTCTTTTCCATCTATTCTCAACCCTATATCCTCCTTTGCAGTTATAGCTTGATTAACTCCTCACTCTGCATGGGGTCCCAGCCTTCTCAACGTATGGTCTGGGCACTCAATACATGTTTTCAGTGCATTTAATTCTTGTCTCTTGTTCATACACAAGAAATAAGAATTAGGTAACAATATGCTATTTAGATTTTTTGGCAAGACTCAGATCTCAAACGTCATCTGACTGTATTTAATACAAGATGTCCAGTAGTATTAACACAAAAAAACATTGTTATTACTGTATCTGCAAACTATAGAAATGTTTGTACTTGGTGAGTGTTGGCTTGTGAGAGACTGGTTTGTTATCCCTTGTTTTAAAGAGCTACTGTTCTGCTGATGACATTTCCATTGTCTTTTCTCAAAATGTCAAATCTACTGTGCCACAGAACCAAACTATATGAAGCATGACAAGCCTTCCAAACATACTTTATGCTCTTCCACTGTGACATTTTTTAAAAGTATGTGCATTTTTTTAATTACAGGTGTAATATGGAATATCAAGTATTTAATTCTATGTAAGGATTTATATTATTATGTTACAGTAGGTAAATTTTTTTCTGAACAAAAGAAATTTCACACAGCATATTGTGGGTGAAATAAAATTTTTACTATGACTAAAATTTTACTTACGATGTACAGATGAGTAACCACAGCCTTGTAAACTTTCTTTACATACTGTGTAATGTGGTACTAGTAGTAAATAGGTTCGAATAGAATGGTTTAATTTTTTGATGGGGTATAATACATCGCATATTAAGAATAATAAAAAACTACCAAGTCTAAGGTCTCCCTGTATTTTCAGGATGTAAAGGTCTGACAATGTACAGTATTTCCTTTTACTTTTTATCTCCTGCAATTATAGTTATACAATTGACTTCCCTGAAAGGGAATTACATATGATAACAATGCACACAATGTGCCTCTTTCCAATCTAGTTTAAAGCCAACAATTATTATTGGATTTACCATGCTCTACCTTTCAGTCTTTTTGCAATTTTATGCCCTTCTTATTCATCCGGTTTATAGTTACCTTTTCTGTTGTACCCATATGTGCTCAAAATCTATTCTCCCTTCAGTAATTTATGTTCAGGTTCCTTAGACCATGTTGGTACAGAGTTTTCTTCCTTTTCAAATGTTGGTCTGGGCAATCAATAAACATTTTCTTATGTTTTATATGGTAATTATCTGATACAGTATTTTTACTAATCTGTATGATAAGGTAACAGATTAAAATTCCTGCAAAAGAAGTCAGATAAAATGGGAAATCCAGTCTACTTTGAAATATTGTGGTATTGAGTTTGGATTATTTTTAACTGCCAGTCCAGAATTTGTAAGTGATGTTAAGGCATATATACAATTCTGCTTATTTATAGTATGCCAATTATTGCTCAGTGGTTGTTATGTTTAGCATGTTCTATACTGTTACTCTGCTGATTAACCCCATTTTTGAATACTTGGTACAAAATACAAAGAAGATTAGGAAACAGAAATACAAAAGTCCTGCCTTTTTTGTGTGGTTAATCTGAAATAAATGAGGAAGGCATTTCACTAGAATTTCTATTAATACACTTTCAACGTTATGAAACTCAACCATTTTGAACGGTCCTTATATTGATCCATATCAGAAATCTTCTTTTCGCAAATATGATTCTGTTCTGTTTTTTGTGTAGGCAGGGATGAAGGAACGAAGCAATCCTCTGAACAATGCAATTGATAACATGTGCAAGAGGACAAGAGATCTTCGCAGACAAGTAGGAGTTTTCTATGATTTGTTTCTAAATTCAAGCATCACAAAGCTTTTTTCAAAATTTCTCATTATCCAAAACTCTTTTTGGTACATATGTAGTTCTCTCATAACCAAACTACTAAAGTCTATATCAACAACTCATTTTAACTCCACTAATAAATTTAATTCTTTAAGCTGATACCTTATGGGACATTAATATTAAGTGTTAACATACAGTGTTATACAGTACATTGTTACCACATACAGTAGAAGGCTATATTAATGTGTTAGAGAACATCAAGAATTAGGTCGCTTGCACTCTTAATTATTGATTATTAATTGAAGTCCTCAATGTGACAAAGCTGTTGCTTTATTGAGTGAAATACATTACCCTAACTGCTATTAAATGTTCTTAAATGTTCTTAAATATCCTTTCAATTGAGTAATGTAGTGAAGACCATTGCATGATTTTACAAATATACATAACATTTTGTTTCAATAAAATTCTACTATCAAGACTTTAAACATAATAAGTTAAATGCAACTTACTGTATTCCAAAGCTACATGGCTAATTAAACTGCGCAATTGGTATTGTGTGTATAAAAACAATATTAAATGTTTTTAAGTTTTAATTGGTAATCACTATCCATCCATTTCAAGCTGAATTGAGTAATAAATGAAATACTGTTCAGTTTAGGAGTGCATCACTAATAACTTTCACTTTATGTACTGTGTATTGACAATGACTTCCAACAATATTTACAAAATTAGGATGGACATACTGGCATCATAAGCATTTAGTAATCCACCAGACTAGCTGTGATTTTAGAGTTGATTTTGTTTACAGTGAACAGTATGCAAAGAAATTATTTCACCTCATAATTGCTTTGTTTTGAACTAGATCATTTATGAAAATGTTTCTTATGTAATCTACTGCACATATACCTCCCTCAGCTAAATAAATCTATTGTGTATATGGATAAATGTGAATAGCACTACATACAGTATATCTTTGTAGATTTAGATTAAGTACTTGAGAAAAATGTTCACAGTAATTGACAACCTCCATCTTCTGCTATTAAATGCAATTAACAGCTTTTAGTTAGAACTGAGAAAGCATTTACTAAAGGCACTTATCTGAGGAAAAAAATAATGTCATTCAGCTACCGTATTTCTTCATTAAGGCCTCAGCAAAAATGTTCATTTTTAAATGGGGAAAAACTAAATGATCACTATAAAATTGATATGCCTATTGTGAAATGAAATCTTTCGATAGGGCATACTGTACAATAAGCTTCAGTTTCTTAAAACACAAGATTGTTGTGAAACACACAGAATAAGAGAGCACAAATATAACAAGACATTAAACAATCAATACAGGTCAATGCAGTATAGTCTATGAAGCACAGTATTCTTTAGAAGCAGAATAATTGTGAAAGTTGTATTTGAAAATGCCAGAATACTTTGAATCATCATTAATGCATATTTATTGGTATGTGTTGCTATATTTTTTGGAGTGTGGGTGTTGGGAATGGAGGTGGATTTGTATTTCAGTCTTTGGAGATAGGTGGACATTGGGATAGCCCCCCC